CATCATTGTTGTTTGGCGGGCCCGGGCTGGGGATTCGAACCCGCCACCTTAGGTGTATGTGGCTGGCGCCTTAGCCGCTTGAGCCACAGGCGCCGGGCCTTCTGTTTTGTTTTTAAGATGGTCTCACTATGTCACCCATGGTAGGATGCTATGGCATCACAGCTCACAGCAACCTCAAACTCTTGGGCTTAAGTAATTCTCTTGCCCCAGCCTCTCAAGTGGCTGGGACTACAAGCACCTGCCACAATGCCTGGATATTTTTTGTTGTTTGGCAGGTCCGGGCTGGGTTCGGACCCGCCAGCTTCAGTATATGTGGCTGGCACTCTAGCCGCCAAGCCATGCTGTCATGTTTTGAGAAGGGGTATTAGAAATACAAATGGCTGAGAGGGCTGCTGTACTGTAGGAGGCCTGCTTGGTGGCTCAACTATTGACCTGGTCATTTCCAAGGCCTACGCTGGCCCCTGGAGACTGCCGCTAAGTCTTTGCTTCAAGAGTTTGGAAGCAGTTGCAGTTGAGTGTGGGACAATGGTTGCCAAACCTGGCAGAATCTGAGATATGTTCTCAGGACTGTGGGTGTACTGTGAGTGTGGCCCTGCAGGTGGACAGGATGTGTCCTGAGCACAGCTTGGGCCTGCTAACCCCAGTGTTCCAGCTCATGCAATCACTTCATCTTTTCCTTAAAGTTGTAGTGTTCCTTCTTTCTCAAGGCTCTGAAGATTCTGAAGATGACACAGAGGCACTGGTGGTGGCAGAGGACACTCAGGAGGAACCACTCAACAGTGGTATGCTCCTTTCTGATGATGATGCAGAGAGCTGCCCGATTTGTCTCAATGTATTCCGTGGCCAGGCCGTGGGCACGCCAGAGGATTGTGCCCACTACTTCTGCCTGGACTGCATCATCGAGTGGTCCAAGGTGAGTCCACTTCTCAGGGTTTCCATGTTCTTTAGGTTGACCCCTAAAGAACACCCACCCTGTGGTCAACCCTTTGCTCAGGAGCTGGGGCCCCAGGATTCAGTGCTAGTGTGCCCTCTGCTCAGTTCTGCACCATTGTCCATAAAGCTCACAGGCAGTGTGTCTGGTACCTAGGATGAGAGAGGAGGGCCATGGATTCTTTGGAGTCCTGGCTGCAGAAACCCTAAGTGGTGTCAAGTGGCGTCAGGGCCATATGAAGCAAGCTGGGTGTCAGGCTGGCAGGCCCCAGAAGAGTCGGGATGCACAGGTGCTGTGGAATGGGGCAGTTTGCTGTTTAGCAGACAGTTACTTAAGTAGATACGGAAAAACGGAATGTGATTCAGCACTTAGTTATGATAACCACCAAGAAAGGAAGTATTGGGCGGCCCCTGTGGCTCAAAGGAGTAGGACACTGGCCCCATATGTCAGAGGTGGCAGGTTCAAACCCTGCCCCGGTCAAAAACTGCAAAAAAAAGAAAGGAAGAAAGTATCCTCAGAAAAGATGGAAGGGACTGGCCAGCAAGGCACAGTGTTTCACATCTCACAGTGAGCCCAACACTCTTTTTCAACTTTTTTATTCAGAAAAATTGTCAAAGAAATAGGACAGTAGAAGGAGGAGTGGTAAGTAGAGTACCCTGTGCATCTCGCCCAGCCTCCAACACCATTGGCTCAGCCCCACCTCCATTCCTCTCCTCTCCTGGTCCATGTCCCCAGATAGCATGAAACCGTCCCACGTGGTTAATCTGTTTGAAGTGAGACCTAGACATGGCTCAAGCTGCCTGGTAGGTGGCATCACCACCTTCTCCATCTGTGGTTCTCCTGTTTTTGTTCTGGTGCCAGCAGGGTGGGTCCATGGCCCAGAGTAGATTCAGCCTTAGATTTTTCTTTTGGCAAGCAAAGCTGTGGTTTAAATTGAGGAACAAGACAGGATGTTTGCTATGTGTCTTCTATTTGGAATTTACTAAACTAAGAGAAGAAAACAATAGAGGCAAAAGTATTGGTTATAAGAAGGCATTGCGAATAGTTTTATTATTATAGAAATTTTATAAGTTGTTGGAATGCTGAGTTTAGCAACATTGCTGGATATAAGGTTTTTATTTTTGTTGTTGTTGTTGTTTTGAGATATTGTCTTACTTTGTTGCCCTCGGTAGAGTGCTATGGCGTCACAGCTCATGGCAACCTCAAACTCTTAGGCTTAAGCGATTCTCTTGCCTCAGTCTCCTGACTAGCTGGGGCTATAGGCGCCCACCACAAAGCCCAGCTATTTTTTTAGAGAAGGGGTCTCGCTCTGGCTCAGGCTGGTATTGAACATAAGCTCAGGCAATCCACCCACCTCAGCCTCCCAGAGTGGTAGGATTACAGGTGTGAGCCACTGTGCCTAGCCTGGATATGAGGTTTTAACAAAGGTTAAAGTCATACCTAGAAACAAATCATAAAAAACATATATAAAACACTTAGAGAGCTTTTCTAAAACACTTGCAACCAAAGACAGACCACTTTCCAGAAGGAACTCTTACTCTGCAGAGGTGGCCTTGCAGTGCTGTCACAGTCCCAGCAGGAGTGTTCAGAGCTCTCAGTAGGTTGTGAACTCCATCTACGAGGGCCAGAGAGCACCACAAATCGCCAAGATGATGTTGAAAAGGGAAGACATTTCAAGTTCACATATCTGAGATACAGAAAAAAGGTAAAGGCAATGGAAGACACCACCTACTGGATAATGTGATTTGTGAAACTACAGAGATAAACATGGAATTGATCCCAGGACAGGAATGAGACCTGGAGGGTGCGCTGGGGGAAGGCATGGACACTCATGCTCGGCAGCTCTTCGTACACAACACTTAGGAGGAGATAGATACCGTGAGGGCTGAGCTTGCGCCACACACAAGATGCATTCAGGATCTGCAGTGAGAAAGCAAAACAGCTTTCAGAAGAAAACACAGGCAGGTGCACTGTGAGGATGGGGAAAGATTTCCTGAAAAATGCAAGAGATTTGCAGATGGGTAATAAATGCAAGGGTGCTTACTAAGGATGTTAGGGAGCCCAGGTCATGCCAGAGAGACCCTGCACACCCCTCAGCCCACTTAGGGGAAGGACAGACCATGCCTCGAGTGGGGAGGATGGAGCCCCCAAACTCATAGATAGGTCACATATAACCACAAAGTTGAATGTAGTTCAACCTCTTGTTTACCCAAGAGAAATGAAGTATATTCCCACAAAACTCATCCTCAATGCACACAGTGAGTGGATGGATAGCCAAATGTGGTGTCCTTTACTCCTGGGTGCAGAGGTCTGAGCCCTGTGTGAGCAGTTCCTGTTGGGACTGTAATTCAAGAAACTCCAGGGGAGGGCAGCGCCCACAGCTCATTGAGTAGGGTGCTGGCCAAATGCACCAAGGCTGGTGGGTTCAAACTGGGGCCGGGCCAGCTAAACAACAATAACAACTGCAACAAAAAATAGCCAGGCGGTGTGGCGGGTGCCTATAGTCCCAGCTACTTGGGAGGCTGAGGTAAGAGAATCACTGAAGCCCAAGTGTTTGAGGTTGCAAGAAAGAAAGAAAGAAACCCAGGGGAGTCGCACCCAGCCACATCACCCATAGTGATAGGGAACCACCACTTGGGAGCAGGAGACCTGGGCCTCTGCCCACGGAATTAAAATGAATGTTTTACTATCTACAGTCTATTTAAAACAAGTGAATGGGAATCTAAACTATTAATGAAGAAAATATATACATATATATAGACACATACACATATACTTTTTTTGTTTGTTTGTTTTTAGAGACAGAGTCTTAGTTTATCGCCCTCGGTAGAGTGCTATGGCATCACAGCTCATAGCACCCTCCAACTCCTGGGCTTAGGAGATTCTCTTGCCTCAGCCTCCTGAGTAGCTGGGACTACAGGCACCCACCACAACACTGGGCTATTTTTTTCTGTGTGCAGTTTGGCCAGGGCCAGGTTCAAACCCACTACCCTCTGTATATGGGGCCGGTGCCCTACCCACTGAGCCACAGGTGCCGCCCCTATGTATATACTTTTTGAGACAGAGTCTCTGTCGCCCTGGGTAGAGTGCCATAGTATCATAGCAACCTCAAACTCCTGGGCTCAAGTGATCCTCCTGCCTCAGTCTCCTGAGAAGCTGGGACTGCAGGTGCCCACCAAAACTCACAGCTAGTTTTTCAATTTTTTTTTTTTTTTTTTT